CTCTCGACCTTCAGATTATGAGACTGACGCGCTGCCGACTGCGCCAAGGAAGCCCGATCTTTGGAGGGAGATTACGGCGTTAAGATGTAAACAGGACTGTAAACCCTAAAAAGGGAAAGTCAGAAGGCTGAGGTGGCCAAATGACATGAGCCATATACCATACGACGCAGAATTTTATTCAATTATTTTATTCGAGGATGCAAATGTCAATTGCGAATTCAAATTACAAAAAGTGTACGTTTTGATTGAATTCAACTTCTTGATTTCATTCTGTTCGTTCTCTTTCTTTTCCTTCAGATGGTTGTCGTTTCCTTTCATTCGAATGCGCATTTCCCCGTCTTCGCTCGCTGAGCTTCGTACCCCGATTGGAGGCCATCAATCGACCAAGTACAAGACCAAGTTTTGGTTGATCAGCTTCAGGATCTGTCCTGCCCTGTACAGAATTTACCGCCTATAATTAGCATGCTTGTGGCAATCTTATCTTGATCGGATATAAATTTAGTCAAAAGATACATTCTCGCTTTCAATCTTTCACTTTGAAATTTACCAAGTTTAATGGACTAATGTAGCTTTAGTTTTAGTATCATCGTCGTCGGCGCCAGGAAGTGTGCATTCGGGTGATAAATGGTTTACAAGCGTGTAAAAAAGATTTAAAAGAGGTTAACAAAAACAAGAGTTTATTGAGTGTATCTACAGGGACATTTGAAAGTGTTTGCGCAAAAAAATTTTTTGTAGTTGTGACAAATAAAGCAGATTGAGAATAACAATTTAAAAGTTCAGAAAAAGTAACAAAAAGGAAATATGTGCATTCGGGTGGTAAATGGTGTGTAAAAAAATAGATTTAAAGGACTAATCAATATGCCCGAGGTTTCGTTAAGATAAAATCACTAAAGTTTTTAAACACAACAAACAACCTTGTCAAGCGTTTCGATCATTTCCTAAAAGTAAAGTTTAATTTCGATTGAAAATCTAATCATACCTTGATTTCTGTATTGAATTTGCGCAAACAAGGCAAATATTTCTCAGCGGTGTTTTCAAAATGTGTCTTCAACGTGCTAAAATTTAGTTTCTTTGTAAAATTCCGATCAAAACTGACGCAAATGACTTGTGTTTGTCCTCTAAATCGATAAAAGTTGAAGCATCCTTGAGCGCTTCTTCTTTCAAAAGCAAGCTCTAAATAGCACGACGATTAACTTGTTTGCTTCACAAGACTTACCGTTTCAAATTTGCTGATGTCATCTAGAAGCTCTTTGTGCAATTCAGGAAACAAATTCTTGTACGTGTTGATGGCATCTCTTGAATCGCTTTTTAGTGTCTCGAACATTTCACCAGCCTTAAACGTACATTGCAAAAACTTTCAAATCTGCAAATCTCTACCTTTTCTCCCAAAAGAGGACAGGCCTTATGTGAGCGATGATTTCTAAAAACACACATAGCACAAATCTGAAAGTTATCAAATAATCCCTTCTTTAAAAAAACTAACCTCAGTTTTGCAATCAACGCATCGAAGCATTTCATCAACAATGTACTAAAAAACTCTACAAAACGAAACGCACTATTAATCCTACCTTTTTGTCACATTCAGCACAAGTTGGAGCTCCTCTCATTGATTCCAATTGGTTGACCATTTTGGGCAACTCAGCCAGGAAATCTAAAACCTACTTGCAGATAATTCAAATGCCTACTTTACCTTGAAATGGATCTTTCGCCTTATCAACCTTTGTGTCAGTTCCCTTTGTACAGAGCGGACAAGTGATAATGTACTTATTCTCTCCATTGACTTCATTCGGATTCAGTTCCCGTAAGTTCAAAGCGCATTCCGTGCAAATGGCGTGATTGCAAGCGAGAATGATAGATTTCTTTGCTTCGACCGTGATTGAATCTAAAAGAAATGTTTTCCGAAAATAATATAAAAAATCACATTCGTCATGGCAAACCGGGCATTCAGGAATTTGGAATGGCTAAAAAGGTTTCATTAGTATCACATAAGGCTTAAAACCTTCTCAAGTACATATCCGTCTTTTGTTGGAGCGAGTACAAGAGACTCTTCTTGCGATAGAATATCTAAATTATGCTATTAAAAATCCACGAAATTCAACCCACCAATTAAATAGTATGCAAAGTTGGGATTCGAGTAACAACACGTGTAGTTGCAATGATGTTTTCTCACATTACCTATAAAGAATAATATTAATTATAATAATATAATCAACCTTCAGGTTATCAAAAGTAGTACCAACTCGTACCAAATTTTCACTAGCAAACTTTGCTTACCAAATAGATAACTCCCAACTAGATGTGCTACAAAGTTTGTCGCCAACGATTTAGCCTTTTCCATCTCAAAGCATTCATGACATACGGCCAATCCGCAATTCAAGATCCGTGGTGAACGAGGCTGATTGGCGATACGGGCAACTGAAAGATTGAAAATGTTCATCAGTTTCTTAAAGCTTATAAATAAAGACCCAACAACTTACACGGTTTCTTGCAAAGAAAGCAATTCAGCGACTCGAACACTTTCATTTCTAAAAAGAAAATGATCGGAGACGGTGAAGTCTTACTGAAAATATGGATGTAACTTTTTTAAATGCTTGAGATAAACATTCAGGTTTCAATAACATTTTACTGCATAAACAAAAATTTTTAACATTTTATTAGCAAAAACAAATGGTAAAAAAGTCAATGGCATTTCTCAATACAATATTCTCTTAGGCTTTTGGATCCCTGTCAAGCCTTTCGATCATTTCCTAAAAGTAAACTTCAATTTCGGTCAAAAAAAGTCAAGCTATTTGTATCAAATTTGCGTAAACAAGGCAAATACTTCTCAGCGGTGATTTCAAAATTTGTCTTAAACTTGCAACTTGCTAAGTAGAGTTATTTTTATAAAAATGGGAGAAATCAGAACTTACGCAAATGACTTGTGCATTTTCTCTAAATCGACAGAATTTGACGCACTCCTGAGAGTCTCTTCGTTCAAAAGTAACTTCTAAAAAAGTCAATGAAAATGGATTTTCTAAAAAGAAGTTAGACTACGCGACTGTACGAAGAGGTGGCGTTCTATTAGGGTATTAACGGTAATAGCGCATTATCAGGCAGGGATGCACTTAGGCAGGTCTGGGAGGGGGTCAGTTCTGCTAGGTCTCTAAGAATGGTTTAGCCCCAACTATTCCTCTACCAGACCTGCCTGGGCCTTAAAAAGTGTTTGAGGGTGGCTGAAAATGGTTGTAGCTACCACGAAAGATACAGTCATGGACAAACACAACTTTTTCAAAACATCCAAATTTGCGTTTTTCTCTTGATTTTTGGCACTTTCCGAA